CGGGGCGGGCCCCCCCCCCCCCGCCACCCCGCTCGGCCTCAGTTTCCCCATGTCTCGTCATTATTCTCATGAGTAGTCCCCGCCCCGCCCCGCCCCCTCATCCCCGGGCTCTCCTGAGCGGCCTCCCCGCCCCGCACCGGAGCCGTTGGGGCCGACGATGCAGGTGAAGCCGCGGAAGGGCCCGAGGACCTGGCGGCCGCGCCACGACTTGAAGTTCTCCACGAGCAGCCGGTCCAGGCGGCCCATGGCGGCGGCGAGAAAGGAGGCGGCCCTGGACGCGTCGAGCCCGCAAGATGGCGGCGGAAACTAGCGCGGGAAGGCGGCAGCGGCGGCTGCGACAGCTGAAGGGAGGGAGGGAGGGAGGAGGCTGCGGGGAGCTCTCGCGAGACCGCCGGGAGGACGTGTGCGCGTGCGCAAGGCGAAGGGGGTGGGTAACGGGTGCCCTCGCGATGGCCCGGAGCGGCGTTGCCTAGGAACCGAGTGCGTGCGGGTGTTGCCAAGGGAACGCAGGAGCCTCCTTCTCCCCCCGGGCGCCAGCCGCGGCTGCCGTTCGTGCTCGTTCGCTCGGAGCCCGCCCCTCCCCTCCCCGCTGGCTTCCTGGCCTTCGGGCTGCCCCCCCCCCCCCCGCCCACGATGCCCGTGAGGTCTCCCAGTGTGGTGCAGCCCCAGGACTACAGAGAGGCGGCTTCCCTGGAAAGGAAGAGGCAGGCGGAGCTGCAGCTGCAGAGCCGCTGGTTCAACACCCGGGAGCGACTGATCGGGGTGAGCTCGCCTGGGCTGGGGCCGGGAGGAAACTGAGGCACGGGGGGCGGAGACCCGGCCCTGCAGAGGGGGAAACGGAGGCACGGGGGCAGACTCACTGAAGCAAAAGCCCTCCAGTCCAATAGCCTCACTTTACAGAGGGGGAAACTGAGGCACTGGTGACTTACCCAAGAGCGTAAATTCATAGACCTAAATCTTCAAAGGATTTCAGAAGCCACCGAGTCCAGCCATCCCCCTCCCCATTTTACTGAGGAAAGGAGAGCGCCCCGTGCCTAAGGGTATCAGCTGGGCAGCATGTGAGAAGGGTAGAGGCCAGAATCGAGCAAGTTGGAGGCTCTGGCGGAACGGAGAGCCGGCACAGAAGCCGATGTCCAAGTTGCAAGGGGCCCGCCCGGGAGATCAGGCTTACTAGATGCCATGCCGTGGACTTGGCCCTGGACATAGGTACAAAAAAGGCCAAAAGTGCTCCAGCAGGAGTGATTATCCATGCGTCACGAGAAGTAGCCGGTGCGAGGGCAGTCATGAAATCACACAACCTCCGTTAAGTTCACCCTTCAGTACGCCAGCCCTGAGCACCCGGCTGGTAAGTGCAAGGCCACGGCTCCTCCTGCCACCTCCCACTGCCTCAGGACAGGACAGATTCACAGCACAAAAGGCGTCCAGGCCTTTCGAAGGGCACGGGGAAATCACCGTTGGGTTGGCACAGCTTTCTCCTGTCTTTGCTCTCCTGCTCAATGTCAGGATCGAAGGAGCCTCTGGGCCCCCACCCCCATGTCAGAGGCAGTGCCCTGAGAGGGTGTGGGGGGATCCTGCACAAGCCTCCTAACTCCGGGGCCTCGGTTTTGTCATCCATAAAATGTGTATATAACCTCTTGAGTCCCTGTTGCACAGGAGAAAAAGTACCCCAAAATGTGGGTTTGGGAGCAGCATTGGGATCCCCAGAGACCTGTGGTCTGGGAGCCAGAAGAAGCCTGGTTTGGAGGCAGGAGGCCCCTGGACTTGGGTCTCTGAAGGCCGGTGTTGGGCTAGATGTCCTCTGGGGGCCCTCCCAGCTCTAAGTCCGACGACACGAGCCGGGAGAGTCGGAGGAGCCGGGGGACGGCCCAGGAGGACCCTGGGGTCCTTGGCCCTGGAGCCAGATGTCTTGTAACTTTAAATTCTCTCCAAACAGGGAGATTATAATGCCTGGGCTGCGCAGGTTCGCGATCAGAAGATTCAAGAAGCCACCGAGAAAGGGAAGCACGAAATGATCGGTGAGTGGGCAGCCCGGGGCCTGTAGCCTCGAGGATCCCCGCTTATTTTTGAGTCTGACACACCAGGCATTTCCAGCTGTCCTCCTTCCTCACATGGGCGGGGCTGGCCCAAGATATGTATACACTGCTCAGCACCCACAGCCACCCCCTTCTCCAAAGGATGCCATGAGCCAGCGTGACCTAGTACCGTGAGAGTCTTGGAAGCCGTCCTTTCGTGGCAACCATGGGTTAGCTCAGAACAAGCGCCCCCTCCCCGCCCCCGGTGGAGCGAGAGGGAGAAACCCGCCTGCAGAAGCCTGCATTCTGGTGCGTCTCTGCCCCTCGGAGGATGCGGGGCACATCATTAGTGTAAGGCCACATTCACTGAGAGCCACCTCCCCAGCCCAGCCCCATGGCATAGAAGAAGAAGGTGGCATGTGACTCATTTCACACATGAGGAAGCTGAGGCCGGAGAGGCTAAGGGGCTTTGCTCAGATGTGCCCAGCGTCACACCGCTTTCAATGTGTTAAAGTTCTGAGAGATGCCAAAAGCCAGCTCAGTGAGAGCAGAGGGGTCCAGCCTTTCAGAACTGGCCTAGTGGCGAGCCTCTAGAGGTCACTGGGCAGAGGCTGGCGTTCCCTCATGCCTGTCAGGCGGCAACCGATGACCTCCAAGGTCGTTCAGCCCGGAGTCCTTGTGACTGAGGGCTCTGGGGGTGTTTCTCCTCCCCGCCCCTGCCATTCTGTCCTTATACCCGTCTCCCTCTCCTTTTCGCTTAGGAGCCTGTCAGGCTTTGAGCTGGGGTCCTCTGCCTGCCGGACACCTCCCGGGCCTCTCCTTAGCTTCTCCCGCCCCATGGCCCTTGCCAGCCCTTCCCTCAGCCACATCCCTGCTCTGAGCACCTGTGATGCCCTGTGCCCTGCCTAGGAGCGGAGATGAGACAGAATGACCACATCGCCTATGTCTTGGACCGGCGTCAGCAGAGGGACAGGCGCAAGCTCCAGAGAGCCGTCAGTGAGTTCCGGCAGACCTTCCAGAAGCCCGAGAGTCGCCGGGAGTTTGACCTCTCTGACCCGCTGGCCCTAAAGAAGGACGTTCCGGCCCGCGTGTCCGACCAGGACACCTCGAACACCATCTCTGGGCTGCAGATATTCATGGGGGAGGACCTGAACTCTAAGGAGAGGAAGAAGGCCCAGGAGGAGCAGAACCGGGAGTGGGCCCTCGAGCAGCAGAGGATGTGGAACGACGCGCTGGCCGACCACAAATTCGCAGGTAGGACGTCGCGCCTGCCCGGTGTTCTGTGGGCCCGGGTTCGAGTCCTGGCCAGACACTGGCTGGGTGACCCGGGGCCAGTCCCTCCTCATCTCCGAGCTTCGTTGTCTAGCTCTGTGAAGTGGGGGAGCCTGACCGGATGACCTTAGCCTGGGCAATTCCAGAGAGCAGGGAGGGCTCATCACAGGGCCTGGCACACAGTAGGTGCTTAGTGCATGCTTGTTGGCTGACTTCTGGAGGACAAGCATGGTCACACCTGTCTTTCCATAGTAGGCACTTCATTAGATGACTGGTCATTTATGGCGGGGGCGGGCCTTGAGGAAGGGCCGGGGTGGGGCCTGGGGGGGTCTCTTAGAGGATCCTTCGGTTCTTCCACATGCTCAGATTTTCTGAGTCCTGGTCCAAGCTGGCTTGCTGTATGACCTTCCACCATCAAGGCAGGGCAGTGCTCAGGGGGCCTGAGTGCGAGTCCCAGCTGGGGGACCCTCTCTGGGCATCACCCTCCCCCCGAGGAGGGGGGCCATAGTCCCTGGCCTTCTCCCCTCACAAGTTGTCGGGAGGAAAGCACTCCGGGTCACTCCCACCTGGCCATTTCTTTCCCCCAGAGGACATCTTCACCAAGACCAGGCTGGAATTTGACCAGAGCGCCATGAACCTTCAGAAGCTGGAGCTCGCCACTAGACGTGTGGCATGCGAGACTGTGAAGGATTTCAACAAAAACCAGGTGAGCTGACCTCGGGGCTGGGGGAAGGGCCGGGGCGACAGCCCTTAGAGGGGTCCAGTGGGGTGGAATGCTGGACCTCCCCAGCCTGAGAGTTGTGTGCTGGACGAGAGGCGACAGCTGGGTGGATGGAGGGCAGAGAAGGTGGAGGTCTCAGCTGGCGTCTCTGCCAACCCCCCTCCCCAGTCTGTGCCCTCACCCACCGTTAGGGACGACAAGCGGAAGGCCTTTTCTCTGCTTCTCTCCTCTCGGGGAGGGGAAGGGCATTAGGCTGCAATGGCCCCCAGCCAGGGAACTAAAGACCTGAGGAAGCCAACCTGAAGGAGAGAGGCCTGGCCTCCATCCTGGGGCAGGGACAGCTTTAAGGCCCAGCCCTTGGGGAAGGAGCCAGAAAGTGAGCAGTAGGGGATGACAAGGCTGAAGCCGTCTGAGGCCTTGAGCGCAGGTGGGGCCCCGGAACCCCGTCCCCTGCCGCTGGCCATTCGTGAGGCCACCTCGCTCATGGCGTCTTTCAGATGCTGGAAGTCACGGAAAGGAAAAGGCACGAGCGCAGACAAGAAGAGGAAGACAACATGGCGGAGATCGCCAATGCCCTGCAGAGCGACTTCCTCTCTGAGAACCCACAGCAGGTGGCCAGCTCGTTGGGGCCACACAGGGTGGTCACGGACAGATGGAAGGGCATGAACAAGGAGCAGCTAGACGAGATCCGGCTGATTCAGAAGCAGCAGATCCAGGAGAAGCAGGTGACACGCCTCCTCCCCTTCTCTTCTCTCCTTTCCCTGTCTTTCCTGACCCTGGGGTCTGGGGACGAGCCTCTGGGAGGTCCTCGCTCCGACGGGCCTGAGTAGGAGATTCTCAGCCTTGGTTTCTCTACCTGCAAAAGGGGGGTGACAGAGCCCTGGGTCATCTCTCCCAGAGCCTCGTTGAGGGGGCAGGGGTGCGGATCAAGTAACATGGCACCAATTAAAGTGAGATGCGTGGTGAGAGCGATCCGAGGGGCCTCAGATGTCGCCGGGCGTGGGCCTCCTCCCTCTGTCCACCCTGCCTCCGTCCCCTTCACCTCCCACGGCCCGTCGGCCCCCGCTCTGCTTCTCCATCCTCTCCCTCCTCCCCCATCCTGCCCCACCTCAGCACGGACCTCCATTCCTCGCCCCCGCCGCATCGAGATGTCGTGGCCTCTCAGTATCTGGCTGGGCCCGTGTCCGTTTTCTCCAGAATATCTGTTTTTCCTTTGACGAAGCCTGTTCTGTGCGCTCCGAAGAACCAAAAGCAGGCTGATTCTCTGGGAGGCTCCGCTGGCCTTCCCCCCTTCTCACCCTACGAGTTCCACCGGTCCCATTCCGAGCCGACCTGCCACTCACCTCGGCTTCCTTCTGGCCTTCCTGCCATCTCAGCCTTTCAGAGGGGTTGCTGGGACCCTCTTTCTTCCTCCTTGTCCAGCTCATCCTCCATCCCCCTGCTGAAGAAGGTTGTTGGAGGGGCAGCTGGGTGGCGCAGTGAATAGAGGACCAGCCCTGGAGTCAGGCGGACCTGAGTTCAAATCCAGCCTCAGACACTTGACACTTACTAGCTGTGTGACCCTGGGCAAGTCACTTAACCCCGATTGCCTCTCCCAAAAAAAAGAAGAAGGAATCTGGCCGTGGCTCTGCTCTGCTCCATTGCTTGCGACGTAAAATTCAGATTCCTTTCCTTGACACGCTCATGACCCTCTGCATCTCGCCGTGACCTTTCTTTGTGTCCACCTGCCCTCCGCACCAGCCCAAGAGGTCCTTGACCTTCCCCCACTTCCTTGTCCCTGTGGTCTTTCAAAGTTAAGAACCCTTCGGAATGGCAACCCAGCCTTCACAGTACAAGTCCAGCAGTCCCTGTTGGGCATCATCTTTACTGATCTACTCATCAGCCTTCCCTTTGAGAAAGAAGGGGTGGGAGAGAGGCAGGTAAAATGGAGAAGGGGAAAGCAAGGGGAGGAGAGCAGGCAGGGTGGCAGATGCACACCGCTGCCCTGGCCCTGCTTCCTTGGCCATCCCTCCTCTTCTGAGAGTTGCCAGATGTCTGGCATGCCAAGATGTCTCTGGCTCTAATATCTCCCTGCAGAGGCTGCAAGAGGAGGAGAGGCAGCGGGATTTCGACTGGGACCGGCAGCGAACTCAGGCAGCCAGAGCCAACCTCCTGTTTGAGAGGCAGCAGCAGCGACTCAACCGGGAGCTCCGCCGGGCCCTGGATAACAAGAACCTGAACTTGGCTCGAGAACATAAAGACATGTGAGTGGGCCAAAGGGAGGGGCTGGCATGTGTGAGTGGTGAGGGGAGGGGATCGTCTGGAGACACATGTATCCATGCAGCCATCCCATCCCATCCATCTCATCCATCCATCCATCCACCCATCCATCTCATCCATCCATCTGTCCATCCATCCATCCATCCATCCATCCATCCATCCATCCGTCCATTCATCCGTCCATCCATCTGTCCATCCATTCATCCGTCCATCTCATCCATCCATCTGTCCATCCATCCATCCATCCATTCATCCATCTATCCACCTCCCCATCCATCCCCTCCCCTTCCTTCCATCCATCCATCCATCCATTCATCCATCTGTCCATCCATCTCATCCATCCATCCATCCGTCCATCCATCCATCCATCCATCCATCCATCCATCCATCCATCCATCTCATCCATCCGTCCATCCATCCATCCATCCATCCGTCCGTCCATCCATCCATCCATCCATCCATCCATCTGATCCATCCATCCATCTGTCCATCCATCCATCCATTCATCCATCCATCCATCCATCCATCCCATCTGATCCAATTACAAAGGGATATTTCAAAATAAAAACCAAGCTTAGTACCTCCAGGCCCCTGGATTAACTGATCTCCAGAGCTTCTGTGAGCTCTAATAGTCCTCTATTCTAAGCTCCAAGGACTCTCCCAGCTCTGATATTCTGTGTTCCAGGCTGCAAAGTCTCTCAGATACTTTCTGTTTTACACCCTAAAGCTTCTCAAATATTCTCTGTTCTAGGTTCCAAGGTCTCTCCCAGTTCTGACATTCTCTGTTCTAGGCTGCAAGGTCTCTCAGATACTCTCTGTTCTAGACCCTGA